AAGCTGTAGTAGATCGTTTTGTCAAGATTAAGCCCACTTCGGGAAATTTTCAGATGATTCTGGCACCTACGTCGCTGCTAGCGATAGCGCTAGAATTTTTGATGGCAAGTGCATCAATGCCGACACGCTTCCCCGCTTGTCAGTTGATCGACGGCAGGCGCTCTGTTCGCCGCTAATAGTGCCAGTGTATTACTTTTTTCTTGCGTGGCCACAAGGTCAGCCCGAATAAACAGTTCCTTCTTTAACCTGGAGTCCGCTACCTTCCTTCACGTCACGTCCTGTGACATCTGGTGGAGGTGCGGCGCGCCGATCCTCGTACCTCTCGCATGTCAAGCGAGCAAAGGCACGACGGTTGCCTACATTGAAGAGATACTGGAAGCCAGCAACGTTTTCACCCTCACCGATTCCGCCAAATCTACTCCGACGATTGAAACCCTTCAACCAGCATTCGAGGTTAATTCGAGCCTTATGACGTATAAACAAGAGCAGCTTGAAAACCTGCTCCTGAAACACATGAACTGCTTTTCGTCGTCATTGAGAACTCGACAGACCCCTGTCGCGAAGCATCAAATTGTAATATAAGAAAATGCCACGCCACTCCGTCGGAGTCCGTACAGAGTTCCGACGCGAGAACGCGAGGCCATAAAAAAAAAACAAGTTGACGAAATGCTCCGGGACGACTTTATCCAGCCATGGAGGTCACCGGTGGTGTTAGTGAAAAAAAAAAGATGGAACACTAAGCTTCTGCGTTGACATTCACTGACTGAACAAGATAACGAAGAAGGACTTATACCCCCTCCTCCGCATAGACGACGCCCTTCATCGACTCTACAAGGCTAAATACTTTTCATCGACAAACCTCAAGATGGACTGTTGGCAGATCGTAATAGACGAGAGAGACCGAGCTGCGTTTATAACACCAGACGGCCTCTTCGAGTTCAAGGGCACGCCCTTTAGTCTTTGCTCGGCGCCTGCGACGTTCTAGCGTGTTATGAACACCATGCTCGCTGGATTGAAGTGGCAGACTTCTCTCGTGTACTTGGACGATGTCGTAGTATTTTCCTTCAGCTCCGACAACCATCTCCAGCGCCTTGACGCTGTACTTCAAGCAATCAAAACCTTCGGGCTCACTCTGAAACCAGAAAAGTGTCGCTTTGCCTACGAGGAACTCTTGTTCTTGAAACCCGTGATAAGGAAATCCGGAGTACGCCCCGGTCCGCAGAAGGCTAAAGCCGTCTCTGCATTCCCTTCACCCGCTGACAAAAAGGCCATGCGTCAATTTCTCGGCTTCTGTGCTTATTACAGGCGTTTCGTCAAAACGTTTGCCCGCATCACCGAGCCACTCACTAACCTTACAAAGAATGACGCCTAGTTCAAGTGGCAAACCCCGCAGCAGGAAGCATTTCAAAAACTGAAACGATGCCTACAGACACCACCGATACTTGCACATTTCGACGACAACGCCGACATGGAAATCCACACTGACGCAAGCAGAGTATGGCTGGGAGCCATCCTGGTGCAGAAGATTGACGGACTTGAAAGAGTCATCAGTTATGCGCGCCGGCCGCTATCTAAGGCGGAAGTGAACTATTCCACAACAGAAAAGGATTGTCTTGTTATCATCTGAGCTACCTCCCAGTTTCGCTCCTACCTCTACGGCAGGAATCTCAAAGTTGTGAGTGACCACAATGCCCTCTGTTGGCTAGCTAACTTGAACCCTCCAGGTCGCCTCGCACGGTGGAGTCTGCGACTTCAGGAATTCGACATCACCGTCGTTTACAAGTCAGGGCGAAGGCACTCTGACGCCGGCTGCCTGTCTCGCGCCCCCATTGGCAAACCGCCGCAAGCCAACGAGGTCGGCGACTGCTGCCTCGGGAACCTTAAGCGTCGACGATTTTGCAGAACGACAGCGTGCCAACCCTGAAATCAAGGGTCTTGTGGAATACCTAGAAGGCAAGGGCGCCGTGCTTCATGACGTAATAAAGCGAGGACTGGCGTCGTTTTTCTTGATTGATATGGGGGGTTTGACGTCTCCAAACCACCATATGATTGTAAGAGATGCTGTAGTGGAGGGCTCCGGAAATTTCAACCACCTGTAGTGCACACAAATTTGAGCACAAAGGCCTACAGCATTCTTGCCTCCATCGCAAATGCAGCCACGTCGTTTTTCTTGTGTGGCCAACTACCTTCCTGCAGTGTCTTCAGCGTTACGTCCAGAAGTGTTGGATGCTCTACACGACGACCCGACGGCTCGACTGCTCGGTGCTTCTCGTACACTCGCGAGAATACAGGAGAAGAATTACTGGTCACGACTTGCCAACTGATGTCACTCGTCACATCAGAGCATGTTGAGACTGTCAACGGCGAAGGCCAGCGGCACTTCTCCAGCCTATTGAACCACCTCACCGGCCGTTTGAGCATGTTGGCATGGTCTTACTAGGGCCGTTCCCGACGTCGAATTCCGGAAACAGATGAATCGTCGTAGCTGCTAACTAATTCACCTGCTACGCCAAGGCAAGGACTCTGCCCAAAAATAATTCCGCCAAGGTAGAAAGCCCCGTCGCGATGGTCTAGTGGCTAAGGTACTCGGCTGCTGACCCGCAGGTCGCGGGATCAAATCCCGGCTGCGGTGGCTGCATTTCCGATGGAGGTGGAAATTTTGTACGTCCGCGTGCTCACATTTGGGTGCACGTTATAGAACCCCAGGTGGTCGAAATTTTGACAGGCCTCCACTGTTTCATACGCGTTAGCCGTTTCATACGCGTTAATAAACTGAAACAGTGTATTTTGTTGTTGTTATTGCCGTATCGTAATTTATTGCTTGTACTTTCTTGTAATATATTTGTACTTCATCTTCTCTTAAAGCATTAGGACGATGCCTTTCGCAGAGGGGGAATGCCATATTCCTTTCCTCAAGAGTTGTTATCGACCCGTTACACTATGTCCAGCCCAAACCACGCCTACGGTGTTAGAAAAGCTTCGACGCAGTAGTAGATCGTTTTGTTAAGATTACACCCACTTCGTGAGTCTTTCAGATTAATCTGGAACCTATGTCGCCACTAGCGATAACGCTACAGAATGTTCGATGGCAAGTGTATAAATGCCGACACGCTTCGCCGCTTCTCAGTTGATCGACGGCCGGCGCTCGGCCCGCCGCTATCAGTGCCATTGTTTTGCAGTAATCTGACTTTTCTTTTGCGTGGCCACAAGTTTGGCCCCAAATAAACGGTTTAATATTCGCCCTGCAGTCTGCTGCCTTTTTCCACGTAACGAGCCAGTGACAAGATTGTCAAATAGCTGCACCGTCAACTGTCGTTTCAGCGTTCGCTGCCAGTTTGATAACATTGCAGATATCACTTATTAACGCCTACGTGTCGCCAAGCTATTGTCAACCGTAGCTCAACCCGGAAAAATATGGTCAGAACTGCTTCTGGTGATATGCATCATGCCACCCTAGCGTGCATTTCATTTTCATAAAACCGACCCATGTCGTTTAATGTGAGTACCTCAGTTACGTCAGATTATATGATGTATACATCTGCATACAGTGGACTACGCGCGCCAACATAGTCGACTAGAGTTTGCGGTAAGCCCACGCAAGTCTTCTAGCCCCAACGGGATTGGGGGAGGGGACAATAATGGAGTGACCCGTCCCACCAACCTCGAAAAAGGAAACATTCTTGCTATCTGCCTGTATTCGACATCCTCATAATTACTCCACTTGGATGAAGTCTGGCAGACTCACAATTCTTGATTAAAATCAATAAAAAATGTGACAGAGGCTAATGCTTCGCATGATACACTGCAGAAGGAGTGCCATCTACCAAAGTTTTAAAGGGGTGGTGCGAGTGCGTGCCTTCGTACTATCTGCGTCAAATGAAACACCAACGGCGCCAAGCCTTCGCGATGGTATAGTTTGCGCCGTCCACTTGTCACCAAGGACAGGCAGAAATATACGCGGAGAGCTGCAGAACAAAATTCGCGCCCCGGTCAATAGCAGTAACTAGACGGTGCGAATTACACCGTCACGAATCTTTTATATGTACTATGCGTGTTTTATTTGACACGCATAGTACATATAGAAGATAAAAAAAGTCACACCTTTGCTGCAAAGGCGATGCTATGAACGCCACAGCAACAAATTTGAAGGTAACGCGCACAATGGCAAGCAGATCGAAACGTGCTTCTCGATCTAAACGTGCCACGCACAAATGACGCACGAAACCTACTCATAGGTACAGATTAACGCGAATAAGCTTCTCAGTTGCTACTTGGCTGTGTCAGAAAAGCGCGCACTTTTCGCGAACGGAGACTGTGCAACGATTGCAGTGACCTTTTTGGGCCGATAACTGCAACAGAATCATTCCGGTGGAAGCTCGATGCCAGCCAAGACGACCGATTGTCCCCACCACGAGATAAGCGCACGTGTGAACGTCCACCCGGCCCCCTCACCGTGGGGCAAGGTACGCATGAAAGATAAGAGCGTGCTCCACCGCGTCGGGAAGATGTGGCGACGCGCGCTCTTGCGTTATCTTGCTGGTAATGCTGAAAACACGATAGTTCCCCCCGACATGCCCGTCACCAGCGGTGAGTGTTAGATTTAAATAGCTTGCCGAACGTTCAAGGAGGTGTTCCTTCGTGGCTCAGTGGCTAACGCCTTCGACTCGAAATTCAGAGGTCTCATGTTCGATTTCGCGTGCCGGAGTCTTTTTCTGGATTATTTCCCTTTCTTGCGTTTTGATATGTATAGATACGTATACATATATGGTGAGTGACGGTGACGCCGGCGGCAAAATCCAGCCGAGAGTGTCCATATATTTGCTATCGCAACAAAACCAAACAAAAAGAAGATTGAGCCCGCTATGCCAATGCACTCATCGTTTTCGCAACGTCGTGCTTCACGTGAAACACGTGGGACTATATTTCGTAACTTGGCAATGTGAGAGCCAGAAATATTCACCTTAAATTGTGATACTGTGAGAGAACAAGCATCTACTTACCTGCAATAAGTTTCGCGTACGCCTCCTGGAGTGGTACATCGCCTGGTTTGCAATTCATAAACGTGACATATTGAAGTTGGATCCTTGGCGGAGGATGCTTAAGTCCGGTAGGCGGCTCGGCTCGAGTAAGTGCGGAGTCCATAGACTTGTCTTCGGCAAGATCACAGGAACGCGGGCTTGTTGACGGTGGAGGCGAAGACTCTGTAGGCGGATCGGACCGCATAAGGTCGGCGTCCGTGGCGCTTGTGTTGGCCTTTTGTTTTTTTGTTTTTCGTTTTCGCCGTTTCACCCGGTATACAGTGCCCTGTGTCTTGTCGTTCAACCAAATATTCCACAAAAACATTCTAAGTGGGTCGACAGCTTTGTCTTCGGTGCAGTGACTGTCATGCAAGCTCGTTGGTGGAGGGGGCTTAAATACGGGAAACGCCTTGGTAAGCATGAGTACGGAGTGCGCAGCTTCAATGTCTTTGGCATGATCACGGCAATGCAGGCTCGTGGGCGAAAGAGGTGCAGATACGGGAGGCGGGTCGTGCGGCGCAATTTCAGAGTCCATAGCTTCTTCGGCGTGATCTTGGCCATACGGGCTCGTTGGCGGAGTATGTTCAAATACGGCAGGAGACACGGCCCGCGTCAGTTTGGTGACCCTAGCGCCCACGTTTTTGGCGTCGTCAGGGCAATGCGGGCTCGTTGGATGTTGATGCTCAAATCGGGAAGACGGCACCACCCGTGTGGACGTGGAGGCCCCAGCTTCGACGTCTTCAGCGTTAGCACTGCAATTCGGGCTCGTTGGAGGGGAATGCTCAAATCCGCGATGTAGCTCCGCCTGCGTAAGAGCGGAAGCAATTGCTTTGGTGTCCTCGGTGGGATCACTGTTGTTCGGGCTCGATGGAGGGTTTGGGAGAAGTTCGGAAGGCCCTGTCATCGTGCTTGTAGGGACCATAGCTTCAATGCCTTCGGCATGAGCCCTGCACTGTGGGCTCGTTGGCGGAGGAGGCTCGAACCCGGGGGCTGGCCCATCTCGCGTAAGGGCGGAGGCCATATGTTCTATGTCTTTTGCTTGAAGATGGCAGTTGTGTACAATGAGTGACTGCAACGAACGGCTCTGCACCGCCGCTGCAAGTAGTGCAGATGGGCTGAATTGCAAGTTCCCGAAGACCTGCAGCAAAGCATGTGAGAGCATGCAATGAGTCTTCAACTGCTGGGAAATGGAGAGTGGTGCCACTCAAATCAAAGATACTTAGGCACCCTTTATGCTGCCGTGAAATATAGCCCAGTTTAGTTTCTTGAATGTGGGTCTTGTAAAAATACAACAAGAAGAAACTCATGCGAATATGACTGTGGATAAAAATGACTATAAAAGAGGCTGGGTGTGCGAAAATGGGCACAGATGCAGATAACGCGGAAATCATATTAACATCTGTTAAGAACTTCATCATTCGTGTGTACAGAATTTCTCATCTATAGAGGGTGAGCTTTTGGGTAGTGTGGCACCTAAACATGATTGCAGATCATCAACACCAATACCCAGCCTACAGATCCAAAAGTTAAGGGAAAGGGGGCAGTACATCCAGGCACGTCCTCGACGCATGCGTCACCGATAGCTGACAGCCGGCGCAGCCTTGTCCCAATATGTTTTCAGATGTCCTGGTTTAGCATGCTCATCAAACTTCATGATAAGAAAACCGGTTGTTCAGTTCTCGATAAATGAGTTAAGTAATTCGTCAGTGAATTGCTACATTAGTTCCTTAAGCACAGCGTCAGTGTAGCACTTCGACACCACTAGTATGTGCAAATTGGGTTATCATGAGACAATGAGTGAGGGCTGTTGAGTACGTGCATGACAAGAAAAAACACGGACAGAAAGACGAAGCAGAGCGACTATGTATCCCGCGCGTCAAATCAAGAAACAAACGTGCAGAAGGCGTAATTAACTGACTCCCGCCACAAGAATACCCTCTGAAAGCATAGTGCCCTTTGAAAGATATGATATCAAGGTAATTCTAAACCAGTCTGAGAAGGAATGTCATCAAACTCACTCAATCCATCAACCTTCTTTCTGCTTAATATTGTCATAATAAATGCATATATAGACCTGATTTGGCTACCGCCGCTTGATTAAATTCAACAGACCGAATATGTTGACCCGAGAAACTTGTCAGATCGTAAGCTCAGCCAGTGGTTCCGCTAATGTACGATGGCTTTTATCGTTGTGAAAATTTTGAGGCTAGAGCGAAGAAAAGAATGCAGCTGATGAAGATCGACAGAGGTTGAGTGTTTTACCCTACATACGTAAAATTTCGCATGGCCCAACGAAAATTGCTGAAAAGGGTGGCGCGAAAGTTGTATTGTTACTTATTTGAAAGTGACATTGCTTGGCAAGTGAGATTAACTCCGATAATTCAAAAAAAAAACTTGCAGCAACAGCTGACAAATAAAGCATCATGACAAGCACCACATTTGGATTGTGTAGAGAACGGGTTTAGAAAATTCCCGTGTCGTGCGCGAAATCAGGCATAGGGCAGACAGAGTGATGTATAAAGATTAAGGTAAGGGAATTGAGATACGCGATTGAATGGTCAGGTCATTTAGCGGCACAGCTACATGGGTTAAACCTGTAGTTCCTGCTAACTTGTAGCTTTACGATACCAAGGTATTTGATCCCTGCATTGAGGGCTCCGAGTAAGTGTAGGGAGCACAATGGCAACTGCTCTCTTGCTGTATGCGTGAAGTTCGGGGGAAGCACTGTGCAATGCGACGCTACAGTACTTCTGAACTCACTATGGGTTCTAGAGTTTGACATCAACGGGCTGACCAGTGCAGAGCCTACGCAATACTGCATATCCTGCAGCAATCTCAAGAAGTGGCCCATATAAGCAGAAGCACCACAGACAAAACCTGCACCGCTCACCAACGCTCCACCACGTGAATAATATTCCTGCAGGCGTTGCTGTGTGTTCCCGACGGCTGAAATACGATCCCCTTTGAGCCTGGACGTCCAGTTTCAGCTTGTATAATGTGTATTGTGAGCAAATATGTACAAATGCGATGTATCTCATAATTTTAATGAGAGGAAACCGATGTAACTTTTTATCTCGGCCGTATGTTGAACACCATCTGAATTTTGATATGAAATGTTTTTTCTGTAAACGCGGTATGATTTGAACGGAGACAGAGACCTAGTCAGGCTTTTTGAGCATTTAGCACCTTCAGTCACTAAATATGAAGCGCTGTCGGAAACGCGTCAAATTCGCATGGCATAATTCCAAGGCACTAAGTATTACATTCCAAGAAAACGGGGGAAAACATTCTTCCGTACGTGTGACCTATGGTAATTAAAGTCAATGAGTGTGTAACTAATTGTCTAATATTCTGCCACCAGTCAGCTACAGTATACTTGCAAAAAAATAATCTACTATTAGGCCTGAAATGCAGGCAGTTTTTTTGTTACATTTGTTTAGGGCAAAATGCTTTTCACGTTGGTCTTGGATTGCATCACATTTAACGATTGTCGAACATGGTTGTGCATCCAGCAAAGTGATCCTCTGCAGCAATAGGCAGCATAATGAAGGTAAATTGCCAAGTGTCCACTCAGGAGGTCTACACGATTGTGCACTCTTGGTTTCAAGTGATTTGATGAAACACGCGGCGCGTGACGTCATTGAAGGTGGCGTCTCCATTTCTACACAGCGTGACTGAAAGGGCTAATTAGTCGCTGTCTCCACAAGATATGCAACGCATTAAAATTGTTTTTATTTGATTTCATTTGAAGTAGGCATGGAGGTGAGATGGCGCAAAGGAATCTGAGCGAAATGCGTGATTGGAAATCTCAGAGCACCGATGCCGACGCAAGTAGTGACTGAATGGTCACAGGCGATGACACGCACTGTTTTAGAAGCGCATATCGGAAAGCCAAGGCATAATAACGGTGCCTGAGCGCGAAATGACAAGATGACAGGCACACTTGTTCTTCGGGTTTCGGAAAACAATTGTAACAAGTTGCGCATTGAACCGAGGAACAGGACGGTGCAAAATTAAAGCTCCACTCGTACAGATGTGCGCAACAACTTTCCAAGTGTAGGATCAGTAGTGCAGTTTCGCAATATAATTTTCCAGCGAGAAACATTGGATGTGGGGGATGAGGACCGTTGGCGATCGATTAGGACCACCAGAAAGTGGTAGATATATTAACTGATTGTGTTACGACCTAATTTAATCAAACACAGGCCTATCATGTGGTGCGCGAAGGCATTCCTTAAAGGTGGTTTTACGTCGATCAAGCCGTGCCTTGAAGCCTGGCACGTACGGAGAGACGCGATGCCCCTGAAGGTCAGACACAAATGAAGAGACTGTTTAAGTGTGTCAATCAGGCCGAGGAGCACTAGACTAAATAATGTGGGGCTGGGAATTCCTCCTTCTGGCACAACACGACAGAATGGTGCGTTGCCATGCAGGGGACCTAATCAGAGACTGTAACTTTAGACACCAAAAAAGAATGTTTTAGGTGCGTATATTAGGCCTTCATACTACCATTTACGCATAAACAGGCATTGAAAACTATCGTTTGGCATATATAGGCACCATTCGTAATTACTTCAGTAGCTGCTCAGAACAAATATTCCAATTCTAACAAAGCAGGCAAATTCTGTGCTTTAGGAAAGCTAAATTTATATTTTCCATGAAAAGGAATGGCAAGAAGCACAGTCATTTGAACAGATTCAGGTGAAACCTGAGGTAATTTGACATTGTGAGAAAGACTATGAAAGCAGTGACAAACCAGCATCATCTCAATCTGTTCGGCCTTGAATTGTGCTTGCTTTCTGTCAAGATTTGCTTTCATGCGCAAAAAAAAAAAAACGCTCGACGTCCACTTAAGTTAGTCAAGCGTAATTGTGGCCTAGCACTTTCAATGCTTTAAGTGTATTCATAATATTTTATTTAGAGCTACTCGAAACTTTAGACACTCGATTTAGCACATACAATCTAGGATTCTTTCCAAGGCAGATTAAAGCTTTGAGGCAACCCTGTCGGTAACGGGTCTATCAGGGACGAGGTAAAAACCTTTCCTGCACGTCCGAAAAAAAAAATGGGTATCCTTAACTTTTTCCTTTAAGCGTTGAACGCGATAGAGTTCCTGTCACTGATGCATACTTCCACCACTTCGAGCATACCTTTATTACGTGATGTTACTCCACAAGTTTAAATTGTGGGTTACTATACAGTATAATCGATGTAGTTGAAAGTGGCTTGTGTCAGGGAAGCTTTCACATATGGCTGCATTTTGTGTAATAGGTGCATGTGAGTTCTGTGCATGCGAGTTCATAGATGTGAATATAAAAATAACAAAATGAATCTGCGTGCTCGTGGAATGACCACAAAATACATATTATTCGCACAGACTTAATAAATTGGCAGTTGCGTAACCAATTTTGGAAGCTTTATGCCTATGCATGCTTTAGAGTACACATCAAACTTAAAATATTTTTGACCTTTCCAATTTCTTCTCCCCGGCTTCTCGCATGGACCTTTTCTCGATCGATGAAGTAGCACTGTTATCCACTGGTTCATTGCCTGAGAAGGTCATTTTACGGCTTCTGTTTATTCCTCATTGCTCAGCAGACATCCGACAGCTGCCGTTATAAAAAACAAATGCCAACAAAACTTATGTGTAGGCTGTAGTCGGCAGCGCAAGGCTAGCTTAGTTTCGGCTGATTAGCGTACGTTCTAGATACACTGTACTCTAGCCTCCCAACACAATCGCCGAGCAGCCCTACTCTCAAACATAGCGACGGAAATCTTCAAGGGACAGTGGGCGCAAATAGCGTTGGCCTTTCTACGCTTCGCCATAGTACACTCTAGCCACGCTCGCGCAACCATGCTGCACTACTCTCGAACTAAGTGACGGAAATCCTCTAGAGGGGCCTGCTAGTGCCATAGGTGCTAACCTGGCTTTTCATCGCTGGGGTACAATCCCCGCTCACGTAAAAGCGCATTTAAAGTGCCATGTTATCGGAGCGTTAGCAAACGTCACACGCTTCGGAGCGCATTGGCCGAGTCTAGATTTACGTTGGCTGTGACAGTGAGTTGACTTAAGAACTGTTTTTGCCTATATAACAAAGTGCATGCGTGCGTCGACCCTACGTAGAACCATAATCGCACCTTACTAGTAACTAAAAACATGAACAAAAAAAAAACTAGCGCGCTATGCACGTGTTGTCGTTAATATGGCCACACCAAGTGCTCCTTGTTTTCCTCCACGTGAAGAGCTCAATTAAGCAAAACGTTTACTCGACAAACGGGAAAAAGCATTTTTAGGCACTTAAAGCAAATTTAGGCACGAACCTAAAAAAAAAATTCATAGACACAATAACTATGTGATGAAAATTTTTCCCATACCTTAGTTCGTGTTTATATGTAAAATAGACTTGAAAAGGACTCCAGGAAAAATTAGGCATTTTGCCTAAAGCTCCGGTTTTCAGTGATGAAGATCACTCGGCCAGGTTATAAAGATTGGCGCGTTAACTAAGTAATGTATTGTGTGGTGAACGTGGGTCCTTGACCGTGAACCTTCATAATCTTCTGCTTCTTCAATTTCGCTTGTCTTTCATTTAGAGCAAGGCATTCGAAATGGCGATGCAGGTGCGACGATGTTCGTATCCTACAAACAATCCTCCACATTTGCGATAGAATGCAGTGTGGATACAGCGAATTGTGTGAAGATTTCCAAGTGAAAGACTGCAACGCGTTTACTGGACTACAGATGTCTTGCTCCCCTGAAATTGTAAATGGATTCAGAGCACCTACAGCGTAGTCCGCATGACGAAGGCCTGACTATATAGCGTCTTTGATTCTGCTTTCTATTTAAAAAGCTTTGCTGTAGATTCCCTATAATAAGTAGCTTCTTGAGCAGCGTCCATGATTGTGCTCTGGAGATTGACAAGAAGGCGCATTTCATCTTCCTGACACTACTCTTCTGTTAGTGACTGAAATTTAGCCAGTCAGTGCACGAGTGTCACAGAACGAGCGCTCAAAAAGGGCGCGATGCCAAATTCTCGCGACGAAACGCCGGAGTGACGCCGCGAGGTCAAAAGAAAAAAAAAAGAAAACAAGCTCCCCGGGAGCACGACTCTCTGCCCTCGGAAGCGTGGCTTCGCCGACGAACCTCCTCACCCCACAACGGTGGCCGAGCAAGCACTCGAAATTTCTAGAAGGAAAGAGGCGTGGTCATGCCGAGTTGAGTCATTCGTCGCGGAGGGCATTCGAACCGTCTCGCCCTCTCCGCAGCCTTCGCTGCGTATCGCGCCGACGAAATGACGAGAACCTTCTGGAATCTCGCGCGGAAGGTCGAGCAGCCGAGACGAGAGAGCAGGAGAAGACGGAAGTTAGCGCCAGAGCACGTAGGGATTCCGCCGTGTAGTCGGCGAAGGTTTTGTCCGTAGAGACAAAGCAGGAGAAGAAGATGATTTCCACCTGAGGGGTGACGACTCGAGCTACAGGCAAGAGTGTGTGTCTACCGCTATCGAGCGAAGACGCGTGGCAACAGCTGCGTGTGTGAAGCCGACGTGTTTCCGGCGAAGAAGTTGAAGCTTGAAGAGTGGCCAATTGAAGACGCGAGGTTTCCTGGAAGAGAAACTTTGGCGAGGTTTCCTGGAAGGGAAACTTCTGGGGCAGCGGAACGACAACAACGCTGGACTTTCAGTGAGTGGTTCTCGGAAGAGTATCATCCAGACTTCCGTTCAAAGAACTTTGGACTGAATAGGTTTTCTATCTCTTTAGTCTTTAAGTGTCTTGGTTGTTCAATGCATGCGACTGCATTGTAGTGCGTATTGTTGTCTGTGTCCGTTGTTTCGAGTGTGACTGATTGTACTGTGTAGTACGTTGTTTGATTGGTGACATATTGTATGCAACTATTGTGGAGTGTGCGTTCTTGTGTATTGTTTTCGATTTGCCATTATTGAGAATATAATTTTGTTTTGTTGCTCAACTCTCGGCTCCGACTTGTTCTTTGGGCCACAGCCGGCGTCCGCTGGCGCGCCAAAAAGGACCACTTCTAAATTGTCCACGCTTTCGTGGTGCGGTTCGGGGGGCCGATACTTCGGCCCTTGGAATTAGCCCGGCGATCGCCTCCCTAATTAACGGGACCTGTGACAAAGAGGAAGCGGTGAAATCGTGGCCTCTTTAGACCATTACTTTGTAAATACGTCGAATTTTGGGAACTACTACGGTTTCGTAATTGGTAAACCACTGCTTCTTCTCACTTGGGCTTCATGACAAACGTTACGTTGAGGCTGCTCTTGTACGTCGATTCCCGTAGAAACGTGGAACTGTCTTCATCTGCAATAGCGCAGCTCCTGATCCGACGCAAATGAGGGAACTTGTCTTTAGCGACGATCTATCTTCAGGTTTCCCTCTATTATGGATTGTACGTTCAAATCACTGGTGATAATCCGTGGCCAAGGTGTCATTGCTAAATGTGCACTTAGAAGTGCAGAGCCAAACAGATTGACGGTGAATAATGTGCCCCTACTAGCGTGACGATGAATTCTCTGCGTTTCTAAGGCTAGAAGACTTAATGGCTGATATAATCAGCTGTGAATGAGTGCTCGGTATAGACAAACCATGGTGATAAAAATGATGATGTTACTCGTTGCTCTGCTATCTTGAGGCAGGAGATAAATACTTTACAGCCAGATAACAGTATTTCCTTATTAAGAAGTATTTTGTAAGTAACGATAGTGGAAAATTTCTTCACGAACAAAACTGCTTGAATATACAAAATGCAGGGTTTGAGAGAGAGAGAGGGAGCGAGAGAGAAACAACATTTATCAAGAGTCCGGCGAGGATAGATCGGGGCGGGCTTGAACCCTGGCCTAAGCATCGGCCGCGAGCCCTTGGTATCGGGCGGCTTCTTCGGCTCGCTGGACGGCCCATAGTTGTTATAATGTGGAGCTGAGCAGAGCCGCCACCCAGTGTGCCCTGCGGTTCGAGACTGCCTCCTCGTTTGCACTGCTGACTGCGTCATTGAGACTCGAGCACTCCCATAACATATGCCCCACGGTTGCCCGGGAATCACATGCTTTGCATTTATCTGTCGAATACAGGTCAGGGTAACAGAGGCGAAAGATCCCTGGATTTGGAAAAGTGTCTGTTTGAAGTTGTCTCCATGCAACTGACTGCTTCTTAGTTAATTTGCTATGTGGTGGTGGGTATTTACGCCTACCGAGCTTGTAGTGCTGCGTAATCTCACTGCAGCTAGTCATACGTTCCTCCCACAAGGTTTGAGCAAGCAGAATTTTTTCAAAGTTGATGCTTCTTTGAATCTCTTACCAAAGGTGTGGAAGGAGGAGCTATGGTGCTTCTTTAAATCTTTCAGCAGCGGGATTGGTGCATTCAATATTGGAAGATAACTTTGAGCAGCTGGAGTGAGGAGGCGAGTTTGGAGTGCAAGAGTCTTAATCATTAGGGCTTAGCACTCTGCCTTCTAATAATTATTTCGTATTCATGAGGACATCTGCTATAGGTATAACTTTCTGATCTCAACTATATCCGCACTGTCCTTCTGACGTCATTTTAGACGAAATTCCTTGTGGCTCTGCTGGCTTTGCTTCTGCGGATAACACGAGGTACAAGTAGTCGACGGAATCATAATATGGCGTAGCGCATCCCGACAGAGACAGAAAAGGGCACAAGCACAGTGCAAACTTGCACCTCATTGTTTCTATGCTTTTTATACAATGCAGTATATTTATTAAAGTAAGGGATCTTGTTAAGAAACAGCGGAGAGCAAGCACACGTGAACACTTATCACAAAAATGTGCCCTGCGTCAATGCAATGACTCCAGACACTCTCTTGGCTTAGCCGACGAGGCTTAAGAGGGAACACTGGCGCATTTTATATTTGTATTGTAGTTATTAGGGTTCAATATTTTGCGCATATTTCTGTTGCAGGCGCTATTGAGATTACGGGTGTTTTCTTCAAATTTTGGAAGGAAGCGCACGTGTGTCAGTGCGTGCTGATACGACCAGATATAGCCTTTTATATATCGTACAGGTGTTCCCCAAGTCTTTGATGCCCCTATTCTGTTACTGTGTTGATGCGCTATGCCATATTAATTATACATCCAAACCAACCAGCCCGGCGACGTGACTTAGTAGACCTGGAATAGCGTTGCGACATCTCCAAAATTTCTGTCGAAATGTGTATTGTGATAGGATTGATGAACGACAGTAGCTGCGTACGCCCGAAATATTTCCTGATTTTCCCATTTATCCCGCGACATGTTGTGGTAAACTACAAGCTTTTAATGCTAATTAAGCTGTATGACGACAGAACAAGTGCGCTCAGAAGAAGATATGTGTGGCCTACCATTCCTCTTCTAGGTTCCCGCCACGCACTCCGAAGAAGAGAAGCCAGTGAAGAAGAAGAATGCAGACTACAGGATGAGTGCTCATCCGGTCGTCTGTACTTCCCTTCTTCACTGGCTTCTTGACGCTGAAGCAAAGCTGCGCTATAACCTTGCGATTTCATCATGCACCAACTCGCTTAATCTACCATACTACCCTTCAGTAACGCCAAAGTTTCTTCTGGAGTTGTCCGAAAAAAAACTGTAGGATTAGTATAGCTCTTGAGATTAGTAACATAACCAAACGACACGTCTTACTTCAAGTTTTATCAGTCCAACGTGGTTTCGGACGGCATCTGCCAGCGCCTCGCCCTGCCGGGCGACGACTAGTTGCTCGGGTAGAGTCAGTTGTTTCAAGCTTCGGTTGCGAGACAAGTGGTCCAGAAACACTGCTGCGTTCGTGTCATCAGCCTGCAGTTGCCCCGGTTGACAGAATATGTTAGTCAGGAAAGAGCTGGATTGAAAGGTCAAAGAAGATGTTAAGTGACTTGGTGCTACTAGTTGCCTCGTACCATAAGCTCCCAAACAAAAAGCGTCCCACCCTCTACATGACATGAGAGATAGCATAGTATCATGTTACACCTTAGAATATATCAGGTTTATCATCCCAAAACCACCGTATGTATATGAGTGACGCCGTAGTGGAGGGCTTCGGAAATTTCGACCACCTGGGGTTCTTTAACGTGCACACATATCCGAGCATGTGGGCCTACAGCATTTTGGCCTCTATCCGAAATGCAGCCGCCACCGACAGGATTTGATCCCGCGACCTGCGGGTCAGCATACGAGTGCCTTAGTCACTAGACCACCACGGCGGGGCTCATGTTGTATCTTGATCGTGTGTTGTATTAGGGATGCGAATGTATATGTGCTGACCTAAATGTATGTATGTTTGCTTTTAAGTTTATATGTGTTAATATATAGAATTGTCTATGCATGGTGTCTATTTATTTTCGGAAACCATTTTTTCTTAAATACGAGGCGTTTCTTGGCGTACTGACAGCACTTTAGCCGTCCGCCCATCCGTCCGTCCAACCACACATCCACCCATCCATCAATCCGCCTGTCCGACCACACACCCACTCTGATGGGACGCCAAGCAGCAGTGTTGTGCATGGGCTGCGTCACGGGTTGAACGGTGCAAACGCGGTTTCTGCAGTGAGCACTAGACGATTCGTTTGAAGTGATGGCTGGCGTAGGTCTTGCAATGACTGGCGCGTTAGGTTTTCTGCGCGTGGACTGACGAGTCGGTGGTGTAGCGAGCGTCGGTCGCGGTAGCGGAGGGAGCCGCGGTAGCGGCTGGTGTTGTGGGCGAATGGACGACACGGCAGCTGCGGAGCTGCGGCGTGTGTGTGGCAGGTGAGTGGAAGAGTGACGTAAGCGTGCACTGCGAGGAAAGCGTTACGTCAATGCGCAGCTGTGGCGTGGCCAATTTGGCACCGCTCCAACATCTGCGGTGAGGAGAGCACATTGCAGTGCGTTTGTATGGACGCACGGAGGGACAGTGTTACACAGGCCAGTCGAAGAGCGGCTTCGCATCTAAAAATGATCGGAACATACGCGAGCTATTTCGCTCGGTAACCAGTTGTCCTGCCCGATGGCACTGATCCATTTCTCACGGAGGGCATTGTCACTTGGAAAGCCATGATAGCAAACTCTCTGCGTTTTGCGTGAGTGGTTTGTGCAGCCCGTAGCGCAACATCAACTACCTCCCGTCGCACACCAATTCATTAAGAACTGAAAATGCCCCGCTGCAGTAACCTAGTGGCTAAGGTACTCGGTTGCTGACCTGCAGTTCGCGGGATTGAATCCCGGTGGCGGCGGCTGCATTTTTGATGGAGGCGAAAATGCTGAGGCCCGTGTGCTCAGATTTGGGTGAACGTTAAAGAACCCCAGGTGGACGAAATTTCCGGAGCCCTCCACTATGGCGTCTCTCATAATCATATGGTACTTTTGGGACGTTAAACCATACATATTATCATCAACCACGAACTGAAGATCTAGCGCCATACACCACGGGGAAAAGAAGGAAGCTTTTCCATGGCACACACCACCGTTATTGCCTTGTCGCCAGCAGACTAAACCATGTAGCGGCCAATATTAGCGATGTCATTGGCTGCGTCACTTCAGTTGACTTACTAAACATGACGTCACCCAGACAGTGCTGCCTATAATCCTGGCAAACCAGGAGAGCATTTTGAAGCAATCTTAAAGATTCGTTTGCAAAGAATCAGCGCATGTCTGAAGCCTGTAATTTGACATAAATGACGGAAATGATCAAAGAAACGTACCCAGCGAATTTCGTCAAGATCTATAGACCTCGAAAAACCGCCTTAACCTGCCTGCTTGGTCCTGGTAGATCGGAAAACCAACTATACAATGCCTACTAGTGCACTGCTACACCTTAGTCAACTTTCAAGCCTTTCAATTAATAAAAAATTTCAATTATTAAAAATTGGCAGATCCCACGTTCAGTGGCAATCGATGATATGCGAAGCACGAATGAGAAAGGTTGATACTTTAAAATTAGCCTAACGTTGCGAGGGGGAGGTAAATGACGCCGTGCATGACTTCCGTGTCATGATTATTATGTTTGTATGTGTCGTTTACCTTTGTCATGTATTCACGGCACGTGTGACCGAATTTAGTATGTGTGGAGCTGGCGAATTAGTGGCGAGCACGCTACGAGTGTGGTCTGTTCTCATGTTTATACATGGCACGAGTGTCACGTTTATCATGTTTGCACCAGTCATATATTTCGTCGTCCATTGACGTCACGTAACACCAAATTTTGTATATGTGGATCTAGCAAAACGACCGCGAGCACCTTATGAAGGGCCCGATATACTCCAATGCAGCGTTGACGCGCGCGCACGCTGGGCACAGCGACGCTACGTTAGCAAAATGCGAGCACTCTATAGTCTGACGCCAAACGCGCGTCCGTCAGCGCGGCCCGATGGCAACCGGAGCGAAATGCGACATGATGCATTTCGCGCCCATGCGTTACCCGGACAACACTGCGTCTTTCTCTTTTGGTGACGGAGGGACACCGAACGCGTTGAACTGCGCATGCGTCAAAGCAACGCAGTGCGGTGCGTGCCTGCGAACATATGGCAGGACCAGCGCTTGGCTTGGCAAAGCCGGCTTGACACGACGAAATGAACGCCGGCGAGCACGCGCACCGCGTCACGTCGAAATGTATTGGCGCCTTGACTGTGGCATGTAGTCATGTTCTCCCATGACACGCACCTCACGATTATTATGTTCGCACCAGTGACATACCTGCATTCATTCACGTCGTGTAATGCCAAATTTGGCATATGTGAAGCTAGCGAAACGGGCGCAAGTGCATCATCAGTGTGGCATGTAGTCATGTCGCTACATGACACGAATGTCATAATTTTTATGTTAGGGTCTGTCGCCTGTGTTCGCCATGCAATCATGTCATACCATACTAGTTTTCAAACATGACATGTGAACGAAACCACCACAAGAGCTGAAGAACCATGATATGTAAATCAACTCATTCATAACATACGTATCATGATTTTCATGCTATGACTAGTCAAATATGTCCTTCATACAGTCATGGTATGTCGTACTAAGTTTGGTACCGATACCATTATCAAAACGACCAGGAGACCTAAAAGTCATAGGCGGCTAGACAGATAGATAGATAGATAGACAGATAGATAGATAGATAGATAGATACGCTCAAAGTCGCCAAAAATCGCTAAAAAATGCTTCGCATATAAAAAGTGTAAGAAATCGGGCGTGAGCTGATAGGAAGCAGAAGCTGTCGTACAATTCAACATTGCCAGTGCCCAACTTGTAAGCTGAAGTAGTGGAACGAAAATCGTTATACGAGGCCATTGCAGCCACTAGGACCTTCTTTAATGAACTTAGCGGACCATAAAACTTACAGATATTCCGAAACGTCACCACACAAACGACACGTGCTTCAGCTATGGGAACAAACAGTGTACAAAGACCCCTTGGTATGTACTAGATAGGCGTCTTAACGTTGTTGAAAGTGCGGCTTCTTTATGAATATAACACATGCAGCTAATGCACTCAGTGCTAGAATAAAAGTGTAAGGACTGGCTCATTATTTGCAGTCAGCGCAAGAGAGGGCTCATGAAGCAACGCTGCGAGCCTTGCGAGCGCCGAATTCACTTTACCGAGATATAATCTGTAAACCTTGGCAGCTCATGTTTGAAAGATTTTAGACTCGCAACACATCAGTAGCAATTGCACCACCACCTCATGAGGCCACTTAAGAGAGTGTCCTGGTCAAATGGTGCAATAATTGGAAGCTCGAAGGAGATAAAAATGTGGTCGATCCCTCTTTTTTTAGAATCAGCAGAACACGACAGTGAAACGTATCTTCTCAGATGTGGTTAAGCATCCATTGCGCATTGTTTCGGCACGAGGTGAATGAATGTATACTGCAGTAACAAATTGCATTAAACGAAAAGAACGACAATCAGCTAAAAAATTGCAGCGCGCACCTCAAGCAGAAACCATGCTGGAAATTAGCTCACGCAAGACGAGTGGGTACGAGCGAATTCCGCACTTTTTTCTTCGTGTGTGAGCAGTACGCCCCTTTCATACACGTGACCGCGTCAGCTAGGAAACTCACGTTCGTGCCCTATTTAACTACTGGAACATTAAAGCAAACATCTGGTGGTAGCAAAAGAGGTACAAAGCCTACGAATTCCGAGATAGACGTGTGCGCCTCCACCACGCCACGTGGAGGCGCGCGCACACAGTGGCAGGCGGCGCTGAAGTTTCCAAGCTCTGAGGACCACAAGCGGTATATGGTGTATATAAATAACTTGACTTTGACGTGTTGGAAAAGGTTCACTTTGTGGTGTAGTGGTTAGCGTCAATAGCCGATGAATGCGAGGTCACCGGTTCGATGACCCACTGCGGAAGTTTTGGTACTCGTTTTTTGTTTCTTGGTAATTGTGTTAGAAAACATTTGATACCATCATATCCGGGACAAAAATACGTCATGGAGCCGTGGAGGGCCTCGCCGTAAAACGCTTTCTTGTTAAAAAGGTCTCCTGGGATGTTTCGCAATGGCGCACCGTTGCGGAAGTGGCTTTCTTATTCTAAAGATGTGTTAGTTTACATGTAAGAACTGGCCTCGAACGTAAGTGAGCCAGTAATTAAAAACACGTTTCTTGATTTGCGAAATACTCACCACGGCGTTAACGATGTGCAGATCAGTTAAAGCAGTGGCTTGCTCCACGTAGACGCCGATCTTGCTCACCACTTCTTCGTTGAAAAGGATGTTTGAAATATTCAGCAAAGTTATATTCTTCGTGGCAGCGATGGCCTCGCAAAAGGCGACTCTCTCGGTCTGTATCGCCTGAAGAGATAAAATGCACAACTGACTACAAGAACAACAACAAAAGACCTATAAGCGTGACGGCAAGTTGGTTCATAGCATTCCTCTTGACAATGTTGGCGCGTCAACAAGTCACGAATTTAAAGTAAAAAGCAAAACAGAACAAGAGCTTCATTATTACATTATATACGAGTACCATAGATGCCACTTAAAAATAGAATACATACTAAAAACTTTACAGATTCGATTGCTGTGGATTCGCAAGCACTCCTTCAACCGTATTTTGTCTACTCGAGGGCGATAGTTGTCCGGGTGTGTAGAAGTCACGAAGTGTGCTGTTTCACTCAATTATTAAAACAAATATCACGTGCGTCTCCGGGATGGAAGAGGTGCGCAAGCGTCGACATAGACATGGCGGACGAAGTAATCAAGCAGATGCACAATGGCAATGCTTGAGCTAAGAGGAATTATTATGACAATCGGCTGCGACACAGGGCCACGAGGGAGAGAGGAGTGCGCGTTGTGCCACGCGGTTGGGAAGGTGGCTTGTCTTCGAGGCGGAAGCGAGGTGAAGGTGGTTCGCCAGCATCTTGGTCGGGGTTTCTCCCAACTGCATGACAGAAGTTAAGAGCCAGAACGGCCTGCTTTGCTTGGCCTCAAGCTATGACGGCCCAAGGAAGTAGCGAAAAGCTACCGCAGTCACCAGCGTCACTATTGGATGTAGGCCCGAGTGTTTGAATGTGGCCTACATCGACGCTCCCTTGGAAAAGACTCCGGTAACCTTCGTCGACCTCGGTCTCCGGTTCCTACATGGTTCGTTGGCGCATACACCTGAGCATTATCCAGCCCTTCGCCGACCCTTACAAAACCGGGTTTGACCTTTATGTCACCCTTGAGTCACCTGTCAGTCAACTCAGTCACCTTTCTGTAGACTTGACTTTTCTTCTGAAGACCACATCTGCAGACTTTCTGCAGACGCCGAGCAGACTCTTCCGATTATGTGCGCCCAGAGTGCGTGTGCGTGCACGTATACAACGTATCAGTATGTGTCTACATATTCTGGAGCATGACACATTTGATAACAATCATTAAATGGGCTTCACCTTTCAGTCACCTACCAGTCACCCCGTACACACCTAGCTGCAGATTTTCTGCAGACGCCAAGCAGACGGTAAGCAGACTTGTGTGATAATGTGGGCCTTGTTGGTGCGTCTGTGGATGAATTTATTATATACGCATATATCTACACATTCTGGGCCATGCTAAATGGGTGTCACTTTTCAGTCACCGATCAGTCACCCCTGTTCAGACCTAGTCTACGGATTTTTTGCACATCTTGTGTTCTAGTGTGAGATCCCGTGAATGCGTGTGAATGTATATATTATATGCGTATATATCTATACATTCTGGATCATGACACATTACATAATAACTAAATGGGCTTGAATTTTCAGTCACCCTCGTACCGACCTAGACTGAAGATTTTCTGTAGATGATAGGCAGATTTCTCTTTTATTATGCTCCCTGTGAGTGAGTGTTTACGTGTAAATATAAAATTTTGAAGCATAGCAATTTCCCTGCCAGCACTTAATGACTGGTGAAGATGACATGACTACATACACCGGGTGGTGGATGAAGGGCGGAGAGAAGCACTTCACAATTGGGAAGTGCGTGTGGTCTATAAGTTTGGTATGATATCGCACGAGTTCTTGTGTACACGTATACCAACATCGTCATGTATATTAGAGCAATGATGTCTTTCTTTCAACGTAGAGATGTTGGTCGTGGTACATATATCTGCCGAAGTGTATGTTCCCAATACTGGAATGGTATGAAACTTTTGTTTTTTGTACATAGTGCCAATAAACTTTTTCTAAACAGATTTACTTAGCTGTTGTCGCTTGCACGCGTTGGGCACGTGTTCTGCGGGGGCATGGGTGGTATTCTATCCTTTGATGCTCTATGTTTCTTAAATGTGTGGCCAACGCAAATGGTAACTATTACTTTTCGTTCAGTGACTACGTCGCTGAACGGCGACTTGAAGTAGCACGCAGCTCGTCGATTGGTCTAGACTGGTCACGGCAAAAAAAAAAAAAACGCGGACGTGCGCACCAAAGTGCAGCAATTGAGGCTCGGTGGAAGACACGTCCGGAGTGGTAACGTACCTGGCTCCACCTGAGAACACATGCAAAGGACTCTTAAGAGGAGTCGACGTGGAAGTCGGCGAGGCTCAACTCAGAGCTAGAATTGTTAAGGATCGCAAACTGAGCGCTTTGGAAGTAAGGCGGATCAAGAATACCACGGCTGTGGTGGCGCTTTTTGAAGCATGAGGGTGTCCAACTACGTGGCATGCGGCGCAACTATATTTCACTGCACGCTTTGCCGACGTTACATGGAAGTCTTCTACCAATGTGGAGATTCGGGGTACCGCGATGACGCATGTTCTTACCCTGGAAGCAAGTGGTGCTGCGCTTGCGGCAAATGATCGCCGACGGAAGATCACTGGTGTGATCCGACCTGCGCGTTGTGCACTGGCCCGCACCCTGCTGCCGCCAAAGACTACCAGGACAAATTTAACTACCCTGTATCATAAACAGATGACAAAAGCAGCGAGGGCGACGTGCCGAGCAGCTGCAAGTGGTTCAACAGTTATGTGACTCGACCAACTTCAGCACAGCTAGTGGTAGGATCCGCTCGAGTACACCATGGTGCTCGGCCAGAGAGCAGCACCAATAGAGGCCACTCACGCACCCCTGCTGCGCAAAAGCGTGACGTAATGAAAAACCACTCTCAATCCAGAGGGCGCTCGGTGTAGGGTAGGCGCAGGTAGGAAGAGCCTACCTAGGCAGATCGTGCCCAAGGGAAGACGAAGAATAAGCTGCAGAGATCGAAGGAGGTTACGCAATTTGCTTTGTCAGAGCATGGTAGTAGGTCACGCGTGGATGCATTTCTTAAGGAAGTTAAAGAACTTTGAGAGGAGGTCGCCACCTCAAAGCGATTACTTGAAGAGGGGAGTGACTCGGAAGTATGTAAAGGACACGCTCAACAAAGGAAGATGTTGGAGGAGCCACTCAGGACAAGCAGGATAAACCAGGAGAACGTAAAGCTGTTGGTGCAAAGTGTTATGGTACTAGAGGAAAAGTTGATAAGGGCCAAAGCGAAGGCCCGAGTGCAGATAAAGACAACGAATAACTCAGAGGATGCTCCGGACGTGGAGTAGGGCATGGTAATTTAGCGTTGTGGATGGCAATCATAATAAAATGATAATCTAGTAGTGGATAGAGAGAGAGAGAGAGATAAATAGAGAGCAAAAGCAGGGAGGTTAACCAAGCTTGGCTCGGTTGGCTAGTAGTGGAACTGCCCCAGTGTTCAAAGGCGCTAGGTTCCGCTACGACAGTTCTTAACAAACCGTGTAGAAAAGCCGGGAAGTTAAGACACGCAATGCGACGTCCTTACCCTCCCCGAAAAAACAAAAAAAACCATATCGGTCCGGAACGAGAGAGGAAGAAGATTAGCAATGTTGATCAGTAAAGAATTGGTATTTTTTAAAGACAATAGTCTTTCTTGGGGACCTTCAACGCAAAAAATTTCATCGGTCTGTCTGTTTATGTGTTTGTCTGTACATTGGCCTGTTTTGCCACTTATAACGGCACCGGATAGTTGAAACGGCCGACCCAATCCGCAGTGCCCACCAATGTTGCTCAAGATTAAGCGTTCATACTTGTGCAATTGTCAATTACAACATATATTCGCATGTCTGGGGCACAATAACAACACGTATATATTCTGCATGTGCGTCTTTTACTAGAAAAGGCATACATAAGTGATTTTAAGGACCGTAGCGCTTATCACGCTGCGCTGACCATGCAACGCTTGCTAGAAAAGGCAAGTGTTTCCAACGCTTTGCTAATACGAGACGGGGGTGGCACCTACCAGTTGCATTGCGTTGTACACCTTATCACCTCTGAGACGGGCGCACACACCCGTCTCAGAGCCACGCGCTTCGTTTTCCAAGAATACTGCGAGATGGTGCTCATGTCTCACGCGTGACATAACTTGATGCGCTCCTTCGCCTCCGCTTCACGCTCGAGGCACTCTACCGCAGCGCCTCCAGAATACCATTCACCGATTTTCTTGCGGAAAACATGAAATAAATGTTTTGTTCCCTCTCTCCACACGCAAGACTATCATCTTTCGACAACATTTGCAGAATAACATGCAGATACGGGACCAATTTTTTAACACGTAATTGAATCGGAAAGGAGTAAGATGGGGATCCGCACGACCACGAGTGGCTCAAACAGAGTGTCTTTGTGCTTTATGTCTATAACCTGCGATCAGAACAAAGACACTGTGTGCTTAGGAGGTAACGTCGGTACCCAGGGACTCTCCGCTGATAGTTGCCGGGACTTAAATATCCCTCATAACGCTTGGGATTACGCGAGAAAGACCGCAAAAGTAGAGAATCTGGTAATGATCCAGTATGACCTAGCGTTTATGGTATTTACTGACCCAGGATTCCCGACCAGGTTGGGCCCGTCGGTTGCGTGTAAGAAACATGGGGAACGTCACATAGGCGAATAAGCAAGAAAATACGGGCAGTGACCACTTCATAGCAGTGGTAACTTTAAAAGTCGACCCCACTATAAAGTGGTCGCTTTTAAAGTGCACCTAGGGCACTTTAAAAGTCGACGCCAGACCAGATAAAAGGTATTTCGAGCCAAGGACTCGGATAAGTTTAGCACAATTGGGAAGGTGCGCATGAGCCCACATTTCTTGTTCAGTGAGGCGATCATCTCACTCAAGGAAGTTGTAAGGAGGGCTACTATTGTAATACAGAAGTCGAAGTCACAAGAATGAACGTGGACCTCGCCCACCTGTTGGAGCCGAATCCTCGATTTTGAAGACATCGAAAAAAAGAACAACCGCTAAACCGCAGGTTCAGAAAAATGGTTGCGGAGCCTTACAGACAAATAGAAAGTTACTGCGCGGAGCTAAATAGGCCACAATAATAATGAGGTATGCGTGGCAGTAGACGAATCCATGCTAACAGGAGGGAAGTGGAACCTCCTAAAGCATCTCCTGTGAAGCAAAGACCAAGGGGAATCAAAAGCAAACACTTAGTAAAGTTATACTGAAACACAAACAGGTGGGAGGTAATGAACAATCCTTTGTGAATGTGGTAGCAGATATATGCCTCCTCACAGGCCGGTGCAAGATGAGGATTATCCACAGATTGAGTATGCGACGGGGGACCAGCTGCACATGGCCTTCACAGAATTGGAGGTCAGGGCGGTGCTGCACAATTTAAACAGCAGATAAACTCCAGGCTCGATCATTTTTCAAACAGGCTATTACGAAACTTGGACGATAAGGCAGTGGTACTTCACTTAGGTCAACAGGATATGAGACGTAGGAGTAGGGTTTGGCGTATGGAAAACAGCCTCGGTGACACTCATTCGGAAACCTGGGAAACCCTTTAATTATGACAACATAAGGCCCATATTGCTAAGCTCGTGTGTAGGCAAGGTAGCGGAACACGCTACATTGAACATGCTTTTCGGGTATATCGAGCGTATGGGGCCTTTTTCTTCGCACGATGGTGGGTTTTTGGCCTACCCTATCGACACAGAAGGATAGGCAACTGCCAAGGAAGCAAATCTGATTGGCACAATCGGGACGTGAGAGGTATTCTAGCTCTCGTTATCAGTAAGGCGTTTGACACAGTGCTCAATTGAGATATACTGCAGGCCATGGCGAACACGGGTCTGGGAGTGAAATTTCAGGCCCTTATCAGGTTGTCTCTCATCAACAGAACCACTACAATTCAGCTGGAGCAGATTTGGTTGAGCGAGAACAAATTGGGACCTAGGGGTACCAAGGAGTACCTGGGAGTACCTAGGGGTACCAAGGATCAGTCATATCAACACTGCTTTTTAATATAGCAATGAAGGGTATCGCAGACAGGCTAAGCAGCATCCGAGACATAGGTCACACTGTTCACGCGGATGACTACGATTTGGTGCCCAGTGGTTCCCTAGCAGAAATTAAGTGAAATCTACAAGCGCCCATGGATAATACGGAGGCCTATCTAGCAAACACGGGCCTTAAGCTGTCTCCGAGTTAGTCTGAGCTGTTGCTTTACAGACAAGCAAGGCAAGGGCGTCGAGGACTCACAAGCCTAGACCACTTCACCATGGCATTATATGCAGGTGGGCAGAAAACGCCTAGGGTTGACTCGGTCAAGATGTTAGGCCTGCTCATAGACGCAAGGGGCTCTAATACCAGAACAATTCCTAACCTTACAGCAAAAATGGAGAATATGCTGAAGTTAATAGCTAGGGCATCCACCTGGAAGAAGGGATTAGATGCGGACAACGTCCTTAGGATGCACCACGCACTTCTCATAAATCACATTACCTATGTGGCATCACCTCTCGTGTGATCGAAAGCAGAAAAAGGAAGTTGAATACGCTTATGCGCAAGAGCATGAAGAAAGTGCTTGGCTTGCCGATTTGCACGAGCTCCGACAGGCTATATCAGCTCGGTATGAATAATAACAGGCGAGATCATAGAGGCGCAGACCACTGCACAGGTGGTTAGGCGGTCATCGCACAACGCTGGCAGGAGAATCCTAGACGAGGTTGGCTTGGCTCCTAGGATAAGGGAGGAACAGCGGTCAACACTGAGTAGGGAAACGAGGGTGACCTACGTCGTGGGGCTTTTCCCGCGAAATGTAGATCTCCAGGATAACGAGGGTAGGCGTAAAACTCATACACAAGCTTTCTTGAAAAAAGTTCAGGATGGTATGAACTCTGTTGTTTTTGTTCATGAAGCGCAGTACAAAAATAAGATAATGTTCACGCTGTCAATAAGGGGGAGAGCGTTGCGCTCCTGCGCCTAGGCGAGGGCAGCCACACCTGGGATGAGCAAGTTGTGGTTGCGTGGGCTTTGTTAGACCCAGAATGACCCTACGTTTACACCGACTCGAGGGAGTCAATCGGAGCTTTCGAATCTGACAACCTCGCTTTGAGAGGTTGCCTCCATTCTGGAGGTGACGGCCCTTCCCCGCTTTCATTTCATCCCTTGGTTCCCTGCACAGATGAGGAAGAACGTTTCCGAGGTCTTCAAAAACCTCAGCAAGCTGGCCCAGGAGCGTGCACGAGAACCCGCGTGCCACGATGATCTTTATGCTCTAGATGGGCTGGAAGACACTTAGCAGAATGATCCGCTTCGAACATTCAATGAAATCACTAAACATTACCAGCTTGGCAAAAAAATCTATCCTCATTTTCACCTGAAGCTTAGCGGAAACCAGTAAGCTACTCCGAGAATGTTGCAGACGTGGTCTTTCTCATTGTGGGGGTTCCTCAGTAAATTATGCACGGACGTTGACCCTCGTTGCCCCGACTGCCGTAAAAGATTTTGTTCCTTGACTCTCATGCTCTGGTGACCTCCTGTGCTGCCTAACAACCTCCTCTCCTGTGAAGCCGAGTGGAAGGAGGCCGTAAGAAGCACGGTGCTCTGAAAATAAACCCAGGCTGTCCATAGGGCCCAGAAAAGGGTGGGGAGTCATGGTGTTCTCTCTTCTACGGTCGGCGCGGCCAGTGGTTATGACAGGCCCCTGTTAGGGGGTCCTGTAAGTAACTCCTAAGGATCGAATAAAGTTCATTGTCTCTGGCATGTGGAGTGGCACATACCCGCATACCAGTGGCATATACCTAGCCCAATGTATTTGCCATTCTTTTTTGAAAATTGCTTCATGACGTACGTGACTAGATTATGGCATTATTGATGCCATGAGCAGCGAGTCATATTCGACAAACCACATTACCCTCCTGTACTTGGTTTGGCGTACCCCAAGTAAAGGGGGTGATCATGACAGCACCCAGACGTAGACAGATAGATAGATATATAGATATACAGATAAAAGTATAGATATATAGATATACCGATAGATATATAGATAGATATATAAAAATATATAGATAGATATATAAAGATATATTTATATAGATAGATATACAGATAGATATGCAGATGAATAGATAGATAGATAGATAGATAGATAGATAGATAGATAGATAGATAGAAAGATAGATGCCGAAAACGCTCGCAGTGCGCAAAGAAATTTTTCGCATTTATTATTAGGGCGATAGGTAAGTTTGTCGATTTGTTTTAGCAATGCCGTGAGAAAACCTAAAAATACTTCGCCATAGCATGTGTTTTTTTTGGCATGTGCTTTTTACACACTACCTCAGTTTCGGGTACCCCAAGCTTTTCCGAAGTGCAGTAGCACTGACAAGAAAAGTGATTATTAATAGAGACCATACTTTACATACGCGTGTGTAGTCTGTGAGCGTCCTAATGAAACTACACTAAAACAAGTTAAGCATGGCTATTCCGAATACAAGAATTCCTCATAATATTTATGTTTTGATGTACTCAGAAAAACGTATGCAGCGTATCAGCATCACCTACTTGTTTCTTTTTGGCTGCTCGAATCTCAAAAGTAATATAGTGGCCTTGATACATAAAACTAGCTTGCAAAAGAGGCCCACACAAAAACAAAAAGGTGGACGTAAACAGTACCAGAAAGTGTTTAGATACACAATGTAGATAAAAGAAATGGCGTAATTGATGCTAGAAATTTCATCGCATACTGTGTGCGACTAAAAAGTAAAAAAATAAATAAATAACACAACGAAGAAAAGATAACCATGGAATCCAGGAACTTGCGCATGAATGGAAGTACGTACACATGAGTATTCGGCCAGCAGACTCACCACCGAGTCAGATATATCGAGGAACCACATCCTGCATTCCAGTCGCTCGGGGTCGGCGGCGCCAGTCTTCAGGGCGTGCCAGACAACGAACATCTCGATAGTTGTCGCGACGTCGAAGAAAATGTTCGTCACGCACCTGTACAAAATTGAAATGATCGTCAAGCACTGCATGTAATTGACGATGACGTGAGAATTGGTCAGTCTCCAATCGCTCTGAGATAGAGAAAGTTGAGGAAACAGCGAAGCCGGTGACCGTCCCATCATTTCCCACATCACCCCTGAACAGCAACACCTCCCATTGCCACCTTTACTGTATCACGTTTTCTTTTTCTTCCCATATTTCTCAGTTTCGTTCCCTCTATATGTTTTTCATTGTCTTTCAGTTTTAGGAGCTTGCTCTTTTTGCTCGAGGCTTCTATGTCGGCGGGCGGCGTGTACATCAATGTTACCGGTACACTTTTGCGGTCACGTTCAAGGTGGCGTCTTCGCTTATTTCAACAATGCTCATTAGATGGCACGCCATCACCCAAGTGTTCGCGCCGCGACTCGCCGTGGCGCTGCAGTCATCAGCTGGCACAGTGGATAAACGTGTTTTTTCGAGCGTTCCCGATCAATTGAGCAGATAAATGTTTTTGGAATGTTTTGAGCTTGCTTTTATAATTAATAAGGCAGCAGTGTAAACCTTTATAGCTCTTATTACATTGTGGGCTTTTAGGAGGCCAGTCACCAGGTATTTAGTTGTTTGTGTGTGTGTGTGTGTTTTTTCCTGACAGCCCTGTAATGAAAGTGCACGTCACAGAGCGCGCAAACTTTTGTAGTAGAGCTTACACTTTCTTTGATTAGGGCCGAAAGTGAAGGAAAGTACGTTTTAGAAACTATGCATTGATATTTTTAAGTTTCGGTCTTGGGAATGTCGTCGCAAAATATAGAATAACAGACGGAAAGAGGCGCGTCACAGAAAATATGACCCCTCACTCCACAGCATGCGTAGAGAACGGAGTTGGCCACAATGGGCATGTTCTTTAGCGCACCAATGATGATCTATTCATATACATAATATACCTTTGGCGGTACTCTGAGCTTAGTGGCAACACAGCGCCATGTCGTTACCACTGGCGAGACGGTGTGAATGGCTCCAATGGGGCGCTCTAAAGGTCGTAGCGCTGCACATTGCGATGGGCGATGATATCTTCAGTGCGTGGTCGCTCGTTGACGTGCGCTTATTTAATAGGAGGGGGGGGGGGGTTAGAGCGTGTTGTGCGGTCAGCGGAAGTTTGCGGTAGACTTACAGTGGGTATGCAGTCACCTCACTCATTGCTACGACCACTTTTGAGATAGGAGCGCGCCGCTCACAGAAGGAAGTTACAAGTGCATACGCACATCTTGTGTTTACTTGTGCGTTGGTTTCGTGTGTCTGCTTTTGTGTTTAAGCCGGGCGCTTAAGTGTTTAGTCGTGGCAGTTAGTTCATTATGTGCATGCCATATGGTTGTGCCGTTTTTCTTGAGAAGCCTGCTACAAGTTTCCAACTGTTGGCCGTTTATCACATGACATAGCACATGTTCGGTATTAGCGTGTTCGCTGACTGCAGCGTGAATTATCGTACTGTAAGTGAACATTCAGAGTAGTAATTTCCGCAGAACCACCTTAACAACGCACTCCATTAGTGTAATCGCTGGCGAATAACTCAAAACCATAATAAATGTGAACTTGCTGACGTCATCCTTTCCTTTCAACTTACATATTCGCGGACGTCACCATTGAATCAGTTCTAACGCCTAAGTCACTCACGACCTTCGTTGAACTGTGTATGCGACTAATCTCATTTCATCAGCAAACAATACCTTAGGAATTAAAAGTGTTACTTCATCATGCGCTGATGCAAGCCAAATTAATCGCGTACAAATCGTAGATCAGACCACAGTGGATTATACCACTGCCATCTGGGACACCCACCAAGCATGTATCACCAATGCGCTTGAATCAGTTCAGAATCGTGCCACGAAAATCATCCTTGCTTCATATTCATGTCACGTCGGCATTTTCCTTTTAAAGGCAGATTCAAGCTTGCCATTCCTCGCTTTTCGTCAGTCGCGTTCACGCACTGTCGTTTTTTTCACAAATTTCGCAGCTCACTAAAACGCCCGCCTTACATCGCTTTGTCATCTTCACGCGTGTCGTAAGCGCACTGGCCATCAGCTGCAATTGACTTGTACTTGAACACGAACAGTAACGTTTAAAGCCTCTTTTTTTCCTCGAGCTGCCCCCAAGCTTACAATAACTTGCCACGCCGTGCTGCTACCGTGTTAGGTCATTTATAATTTTTGGACACGTTACAAACACCGCAACATTTCTGCGCCTAGATAAAAGATACGTTCCCACCATAACAATCAGTGAACGGAAAAAATCTCCGTGGTTTAACATAACACTAACACGTCTGAACAATAAAAATAAACGTCTCTTTCTTTCTGATAACTCCTCTCAATCTGACTTTCAGTGGCAGAAACACCACGCTGCGGTCAAGCAGTATGAGAAGCACGTCGCAGATGCCAAACGTGGCTTTTTTTCAACCACGCCGCCCTCACACTAACCCGAAACGCTTCTGGCACTGCATTAATCCTCAAGTGTCTAGCAGTGTTTTTCTCCGTGACGGTGCTGGCTGTCCTGTTCTGGAATCTGAGACTACTGAAGCTCTAAATGTACTGCTTTCTGTTCTGTGTTCACTAATGCATGCCCCGAATTTCTTCCTAATTTGCCACCGTCTAATTACCCCCCCCCCCCCCCATGGAAAACATCACTTTCAACGCGGACGGCATTGTTACAATTATAGAGTTATTAAAAAATTCATCGTGTGGCATTTACGGCATAAACGCTAAGGTATTAAAAACACCAAGCAAATCACCAGTCTGGTCCTAAGGTTAATGTTCCAGCAATCCCTCTGCACTGCATCTATCGCCTCTGACTGGAAAGTTGGTAAGATAATTCCCATTTTTAAAAAGGGCGACCGTACAAATTTTAACAACTACGGTCCCATTTCCCTTATCAGTGTTTGTTCTAACCTAATGAAGCACATTCTACATTCACACATTGCCAATTTTCTGTCATCTGTCAACTTGTTTCATCGTAACCAGCACGGATTTCACAGAACGCACTCTTGCAATACTCAGCTCGTATTATTCCTGCATGAGGTACATTTTAGCCTGAATTTAAACATCGCCACCAACGTTCTTTTTTGGCCTTCGAAAAAGTCTTCGATAAAGTTTCGCACATTCTTCTCATACATAAGGTTTCTCACCTAAACCTACACCCCGGCACAGTTAATTGGATACGTGAATTCTTGACCAATCGCCTTCAATTTGTTTCCACCAACTCATTTTCCTCATCTCTATTCACTGTTTTATCTGGTGTGACGCAAGGCTCTGTACTTAGACCGCTACACTTGCTCATATATATTACTGACCTTCCTGTTAATGTATCATCTAATATACGCCTTTTTGCAGATGACTGTGTTATGTATCGTCTAACAACAAATTCAGACTCTTCCTCTCTCCAGGATGAGCTCCTTAAAATCCAGGCGTGGTGCAACCGATGATACATGTCCCTCAACATCAGTAAGTGCTCCCACGTGCCCTTTCATCACCGCCGTAACTATGTAGCTCCTTCTTGTTCTTTCAACAGCGACACATTAATCCAATGCAGGACATTTAAATACCGAGGGGTACATATATCTAGTGACATTTCCTGGGCCCATCATATTCTCCGACTAACTAATTCCTGCAGTCGCCCATTAGGTTATCTCCTACTTGCATATAAAATGTTGATTCGATCCAAACTAGAATATGCCTATGCTATTTATGACAATAACCAAGTTGATATAAACAATTCCCTGGAATCAGTCCAGAACCGCGCTGCCAGGTTCATTCTTTCTGATTATTCTTTCAGGTCAAGTGTATCCACCCTAAAATCTCAGCTCTGCCTCCCCTCGCTTTCTTCTCGCCGCAAGACTGCTCGTCTAATATTATTTCTTAGGTTTTTTCATTTGCTGCCTCCAGGAAGGGAAATCATAATTCCTGCACATCGTTACTCTCGCCACTCACACCGAAATGCTGTGTATTACCACGTGCACATACGGCCTCCTACCAAAGTTCATTTTTCCTGCATACTGCCGGAGAATGGAATGCCCTTCCATTCAATATCGCTCTCATCACCGACATTGCTCAATTCAAAGCTGCCATTGAAGACCATCTTTCAAGTCATAAAACGTAACCTGACCCACCAGTTTTCTCGTTCATCCACCCCTCATGTAATGTCCCATGCGGGACCTTTGAGGTATTATGATTAAATGAACAAACGAAAAAACACGTGCTTCTATTGTAAGAATATGCCACTGCTCCGTCGCGGTGGTCTAGTGGCCAAGGCACTTGGCTGCAGACCCACAAGTCGTGGGATCGAATCCCGGCTGCGGCGGCTGCATTTACGATAGAGGCGAAAATGTTGCAGGCCTGTGTACTCAGATTTGAGTGCACGTTAAAGAACCCCAGGAGGTCGAAATTTCCGGAGCCCTCAACTACGGTGTCTCTCATAGTCATATGATGGTTTTGGGACGTTAAAACTCGCATATCAATCAAGACTATGCCACTGGTCTATTATTTATATTCCTGAACGGGTCTTTAGGCTGATAAAGTGAAATAAAGTGATCTTACGGGACATCAGCGCCAAAAATGGAAACAAAAAATCCCGCAATCAGCAACGACGTTTTGAGGACGTTAAGCAGCACGGTTATGCCATTTCAAGACCTCATTACATGACATCACTGCTTGGTCAAAAGTGGCCGGATGCCGGATATAGCACAAAAATACAAGACGTGAAAAAAGAGCTTGCCCTTCCTCCTAGCGTGGACGCATTTCAAAAGAACGTTAGGTGCAAAGAGCTTTCGCGAAGGTCAATACATAGGACATAAAAAAAAAGGTAATGGATCGAGACCTACGAAACCGGCATGGTAGCCTCTCATGCCATCCGCATTCTTTAAAGCGTCAAGAGTATCACGCCGCATTCGCTAACTTGATTTCTCGCTCACCTGGGGTCGATTGAGAGCTCTACATCTAACCCTAACGAGGACGCACACGAGGCCACGTGAGGGCTCACTGGCCGCGCCACCTCCGGTGTCCCTCTGCGTCACGGGGAACCCTCACTCATGTTTAACGAAATAACAAAACACTTCCATCTGTCAAGACAGGTATTCCCCCCCCCCCCCCTGCCTTGTGCAGAACGCAGGCAGTTATCCTTAGACTATTAGACTTACCCTTAGACTATTGCAAGGCAGTGTGTATCCTTACCCTGCGGTTCTTCATGCAATGTAGCCGGAAAGATATAAAAGTGCGGACTACCCTGCCTGTGGGCTATTCGCTCTTTTAATCATGTGTTGTGGGAATGTGAATCCATTGGCTTCGCCTTCAGCGAGGGCAAGTAGGCAGTGTTCTTGCGCAGCCCCTAACTTAATGATTAAACCCTGGCCGTCCAGAGTGCCCGTGAACGGGCTGCCAAACTCAGCTTGAAGGCCCTTGCGTGAGATTAGCCCGGTGGCGCGGGGTCTCCCCTGCGTCGCATTAGGACCAAAATAAAGTTTTAATCAATCAATCAATCACCATGCGTGCATGTGTATGCCTTTATTGTGCCTTCAATTTCAGCGCACCCGTACTGTTCATCAACATTGAATACTAATGTGCCCAGATTTTCACCTTGGTGGCTTTTTTTTTTTCACTGGCGGCAAAATTCGCCTCATCTAGGCGTCATAAAAACGTTCTTAAAGCACGGTCCCAGTGTCGCAGATACGGAAAGCGGAAGCGGATTATCCGCAAAGGCAGAAAATTCGCAGCCGTTTGCCTGGATTGCGCCCAGACCGAGTTCCCCCGCTCGGAAAAGTTGGCCACCTTGACTGTAGCCGATGAGAGCCAAGACGAACGCACGCACTCTAGCGTAATACTAGAAGATGCCGATGCGTCAACCTTTGATGGGTAGATTGTTCCGATACCGCGGCGGAGAGGGCAGAAGGAAACGCGGTCGGTGGGAGCAGCCGCACGTCCTCGCTGCTTCTCCGCTTTAAAGTCTGATTGCCCGCTTGCATGCGCCGCGCTAGGTGTGAACATGCCTTCAACGCCTATAAGTATGGTTTATAACCAATAAATGTAGATGGACGGATTCACCATCTCAACTGTGTGCCCTAGCAGACTTGCCCACGATTCAGACTTGAACTAAATACGAAACACTTGAATATCTCTACCTAAATAACAATTTACATGTCCAAACAAGGTATGCTATTTCGATATTATTCGGGGGGGAACTTCCAGGCAGCGTCAGTCACTGTTTATTGGTGCTCCTGCTGTTTTGACTGATTGTTATAAGCACAGCTTCTTTCCAAGAACTATAAACGAATGAAATTCCTTGATTGAAGAAGTCACACTATGCTAATCCGTAGATTTATTCATAAAAAACACCACTCATATTCTGATTTCTAGCTAACTAAGCTTTATTTTGTCGGTATACAATTTGGTGCATTATTTTAATCCAGTTACGTTATGTGATTTCTACTTCATATTGATGTGTTTGAGTAAGTTCCAATACTACGTGTTAATTTTGTAATGATTCTAGATTGATTATGCTTTATGTTCTTGTTTTCCACTCCTATTATAGCCACGGGTAAGGGCTGACAGTAAGTGTAAATAACAAAATAAATAGATAAATCAATACACAAACAAACAAACAAACAAACAAACAAACAAACAAACAAACAAACAAAAAACAAACAAACAAACAAAACGTGCCTTCAGACTGGTGTTCTAGCGTACAATAAAATGCCTCACCAAAATGCGACTTTTACAGAACCCGTGAAATGCAAAAGAGTGAGCAGGAAATATACTGATTACCTGGAAATGCAATTTCATTGTACGTGGATTACAGCAGTGCACGTTGCATCTGCTATCGTTTTTTTCCCCTTTTACGTAGGGAACTACAAAACACTGCAAAACGTAGGGCCAACTATAGTAATACGAATGGTGGCTTCGGTTATATATTGTACAAGCATAGCATAGATAACGCCTGATCACTTTTCACAAATACCTGTGTTGTCGAAGCAGCAGATGGACGAGGAGCGAAGCACGAAGCAAGTCCCGCGATTCGGGTGCCTTTTCGGGCCACAGGTAGCCCTCGAGTGAATTCTCGCCCCACTTGTACTCGCGAATTTCGAGGCAGTTCCTGGCGAGGATACGGTTCCACAGGTCGAAGTCGGAAACAATCCAGCATCGCTTCTTGCCGGGCTCCCACGTGCAGGAGCGTTCGAAGCCCAAATGACTGTCAGCATTTCCGCAGCCGTCGACGTCCGCACCATCGTTCACTGCACTCGCGTGGTGACGTGGAAAGGTTGATGTAACAACCGAACAATTATTTATGATTGATATAGCATGATAATTGTATTATTACCTGAGGTTTTACGTCCTGAAACCACCATGTGATTACGAGAGACGCCTTAGTGCTCCGGAAATTTTGACCATCTGGTGACCATCGTGCACTCACATGGCACAGCACATGCGCACCTATTTAACCTCCATCGATATACCGTCGCAGCCGGGGTCCAACCGGCGACTTCCGGGTCAGAAGCCAAGCGGCGTAACCAATATTCCACCGAGTCGTAGGAGTTATAGATTGCTAATGCGGGCTTGTTGTTACATACTGAACTTTGTATGAAGAGCACGTGAACGGGGCAAAACTTGGTGGAACAAAACCAAGCGCTTACAGATAACAGACTTTTCATATTTGCTGCAGTGGGACATATACTCTCAGAAAAAATATATATATCTGATGACAGTTGTTTTACGAGAACATGCGCGAAGATAACATTCAGAGGTCTATATAGTCACTATTTCATGAAGAGGGTCATGGAAGACATGCTAACCGATGATTTGTTGCACGCATGGATCACGTACCATGATTGTTACTGCTGGTGCAAGTAAAGGTGTTGTACTTTTTGTTCACCTTATTTTTTTCAGGAGTATATATGTTTTGCTGCTGTGAATTGAAAAATCTCGAGTCAGGGCTATGTCCGGTCGCTTCATTCTTCATCTACCTGCCGCACCGCTTACCCGAATTTGAATTGTTTTGGCATGAGGTCCCGAAAACACGCTATAATTATAAGGGACGTCATAATGAACGACTCCGGAAATTGCCTCCACTTGCGCTTCTTTACCCTGCACCTGAAGCTAAACATGGAAGTGCGTCTGTGTTTACAAAAAACGTATTTTGTTTGCTATATTTCTTGCGCCGAAGAACAATAATTTAGTAAAGTCTTTAAGATTCTGTAACGCTTGAGGACACTTACTTTCAATGTCAGCATGTTTCAAAGCTATCATATGTTGTGCTGTTTTATTGCACGAAAAGAACTGACTGAGAAGTTAATAAGCTCGTCCTTGTCTATAAAACACTTGCTCCGATGCTTTGATCCAACGTAGCCTCCTGCAAGTTATTCGGGTTTTTTCAATAGATACCAGTATCATAGTTACATACGCCATGTGTTATACGCCATGTGCTTTACCATCTCATAGACCCCTATCATAGTCATGTCATCGTATTAGCATGTCATAGATCAGTATCAGTCATGTCAGGAACATACCGTGTACCCAGGTAGCACAAAAGAGATGTAGTCCGTCTTATTAAGGGGTATACTGTCTAAACTGTCTGGATACCAGATTAAAAAAAGTTAACTTCACAAAGGATATAATGAAGACGAAAAACCCTACTGTGACACGGACTTTTACAGACGCTTACAATCATCGTCCTATTTATAGCTTGTGTTTTTGCGAATATATCTTCTTAGCCGTCAGCAATACGGATATTAGAAGTAGACTTTGGTAAGATCATAACTATGTAGCTTCAAATACAGCTATAACACAGTTTTTTTAAAGACCCGTTTTTTCCGCCAAGCAGCAGATTGACGTCATTTGGTCATTGCATGCACGGACTTGCTCGGACATGTATGAACCACCGTGAACTGGATTTGAAGTCGAGCCTGCGTACGCCATCGCTCACTGCGATAGAAAAAGTAACACGTGAAATGATAAAGGCATGATGTGTTGACACTGCTTTAGAAATCTCGAGAGCTGCCAAAAGTTTACGTAATTTACTGGCATAGATAACCGTCTAACTTCATTCTTCCCGAACTCTTTAGCGTTGATATTGTATCCATCCACGCTCCTCTTCTGGCTTCTGCAATGTCATTGCCAGTTAAGCTTGTTGATTCAGTGTGTGCGGTCACGTCCGTCAGTTGTATTCTGTTTTCCGTTACTTTATGCTTGTGTCGCGATTCTTAGGACCACAGACGCAGCTGTGAAAAAGCATTCACTTCATGTGCAACTTATGGGCCCGATCGAATGCAAGTAAGTTTCTGTGGAGTGACAGCTTTTATATGCCGACTGACGGATAGTGCCGCTAGATTCCCAACTGAAAGATGCACGGGTCACCTTGCGAGTGGATGGGTTCTCAGAACTTTGTTTTTTTCTATAGTGGAGAGTTATAGACGACATTGTGATGTGCAATTGCTTTCCTTTTGATTTATGGCTTCGGCGTAAACGACAGGCTACTATCATATATGAAGGTAAGAAATTTTCGTTGCGTTGTACTTCTCGTTCGAGTCGCTAAAAATGATAAATTAACCAAATAAATGTGTTGCGTTATATCACGAATTGCTTGCATGGCATGTTCCAGTGATGCTTCATTGATGCTGAATAAATTATTTAGTGGTTCAAACCTAATTTTAGGTCACAGTTTTTATTCATGTTTGAACGCACATGAACGAAACTATATTATATAGTTGACCTGAGTTCACTAAACTGAAAGCATATATTCTTCATTGGCCGCTTGATAGAACCCCTTTATATATACAAATTAGCTTTAGCTGCTTGTACCTGGTAAGCAATTTTAAGATACAGATATGTCTCACGTACCTTCCGTGTCCCTGCAACAGAATTGTGCATAAGATAACCTTGCCAACGACGTTCCTCGCACAGGTGTATGCATATGACGAGGGCCTGAATGTGCTTTTATATTGCAACAATTTCAGGGATTATAACGGGAGGCGATTTTTATTAGGAGTAGTTCGGTGTTTTTTCTCAGTGTTGCAATGACAATTTTAATCTTCTGGCATATATATTTTCTCTTGTCTGTTGACCTTCTCCTTTTTCTTTAAACCCGGCACGTAATGTAGAATCGAAATATTTTCTAACACGTCGCTCACCCCTGGTTAACAATCATTTGCTCACTTTCCATAATCGCACAGTGTAATCTAGTTTCGCCCTTTCACGCGGTCTTCTACAAGGTAATATTGGATATGAAAAAAAATTCTCATATCTTCTTTTCGCAGCTTGTAAGTTGCTCTAGATGTTTTTAAACAAGCGTTATAGCAAACAAAAATATGACATCGTTATTTTGTAGGTTACTTTCTGTTTTTTTTATAAATTAAGATAGATGCCAACACATCCTAGTCTTTTATTTTTCTTAGGGGCCTTTAGGCAATCAAAAGGTCACAATACAGTAAAAACTTGTGTGGTCTATAATGATAGCTTCAAGCAGTTCTAGAATTTCTTGAGTGTCCGTGTGTGTTGGCAACGTGAATAAATCGCCCTGCGAAGCGCCTTGGTGAGCCGTTTAAGCGCCTATTCGGTGTCCTTTGTAATTTGTCGTAGATTCTATGCGCCACTCATTAGAAGGTATTCACAAGACGCCATCCACAAGGAGTACCTTGTACCTTATTTGAAGCTGCGGTAAATTTCTTCTTTTCAAAGTTAGGACATGTGCTTTACGGCCACTGTTTGTGTAGTTCGGGCATATATTTTGGAGTTTCTTACTTAGCACTTGACTTGAACGAATACTGATGTTTTTTGTTTATTGCTTATACATAGCCAGGTTCTCACTGCCACTATTGATAAGCGTCTTCTCGGAAAACTGCTACTTGCATTTTTGTATTTTGATTCAATACTTAGTTCTGCAATATTATTCAATCAAATTAGCATATATTTTGGGGTCAGAACTTAAACGACACAATTTTTCATTGATTGTCACTTTAGCGCATTTAGTGTGTGTGAAGAATACACCTGTGCACTAATATTTGAGATAAACCTCTGTGCATGCCAATTGAGCTTATAAGTTCATTCTGCCTTGCTACTCGAGTCGTATCACTTTTCTAAAATATTCTACACATGAGCTCATTACAGTATGCACAAATCCAGGCCGATCTGCTGTCTTTTTCCTGGTCTCACAACACTTGCCTTTATTTCATGGCCATTCTTGCCATTTCACTGGTGATGTAATAAAGTCTTTGTCGCTATACTTGTGCCTCCCGCATCATTTATTTCTTGCAAATATGCATCATTTAGGTAAGAAGAACCTGCCGGCAGTCACTTGTTCCCCTACCCTGAATGTGTATTAGAAAGAGAGTGCATATTCGGGAGAGGAAAACGACAAAACTATAGGAGCGTGGGAAAGAGAAACAAGGATGGGTAGGGGCATAAAAAGAAAAGGAAAAAGGTCATTACTGTCCGGGTTGTAGAAGGTTTTTATCCCAACTTTTCAAGGCTTACGGTGGTCGTCGTATACCTCCTTAGAAGAAGCGATTTTTGTGACTTGCTAAAAGAAGGATTGTGGAACCTCTTCGTATAGACTCCAGGCCGGACATTAGTGGAGATATACGACCGCTTCAGTCGGAGGATTTTAAGCACCCGAAAACGAACGTTAGAAGGCGTTCGTTTCGGATTCGCCTGTTCGCTTCGAAGCAGTTTTATAGCACTTTTGTACTAGCTCGGTAGTATACGCTATGTGTCATGGATACTGGACGTCTCAGAAACAACGCGTCTCATTTGTTATGTATATTCTGATGAAACCAACCTGACAGTGATGCCAAGCAAACTATTGGGCCACAAACTGCATGCTAGGAATGATCCCATTAATGTAAATAAACTAAAGTGAACGAAAGAACAACTTGCCGCCATAACTGCCGAATCCACAACCTCCAGATGGCGTGTCTGTTGCTCTTCCAATAGAGCTATTTAAGTGGTATTGCTTGTATGAACTGCATTGTGGTATTTATGCGCACGTAAAGCTGGGAGTGTTAGTCAGCGCCATCTGCCAGCAAAGTTTTTGCCTCTGCCAGTAACAAGTGGTATCAAGTAGTGTTACATCGATATCATAAATACTATACTACAATCGATAACTGACTACAAATATAGCACATGGACTTATCATATAATGTTTCTTGGTTTCATAACAATACTGAAAAAGTAAAAAAAAAGTATACGCCGATGATTCTTGAAGCGGCGTTGCTACTAGCTACCTTGGTGCTTCTTTTTCCCCGTAGCGACCCGATAATGACTTAGCTTAAGTGACTGTCATGGCAGGCGATTCTTACCGGACTTGCCACCATGCGTTTTAGATGCTCCTGGGTGAAGTTCGTTTGGCGTAGAGAAGGATTTTTTAGTATTCAGTGAACGGCGAAATTCTTTGAAGATGGTAGTGACATCGTTGACACTGGGCTTGGTGACCGTGCACAAGCTCTGCAACAGGGTCATGTAGTCTGGAGTCAAGACGCTCTGCTTGAACAACACGTCTGTCAGAAAAAGAAGGAAGCAAGGAATCAGGTCTCGATCAGCAGAAGGCGAAGAGACAATTCTCAGACAAACAAACGCAATCGTCTAAATAATGCAAGCCTTACCTCTGATAAGCGACTGCGTCACGCTGCGGGAGGGCCAGCTGATGATGACTGAACTGGTGGCGAATCTGTCTTATCGTCCGGCGTATTTTCGTCGGCATATCGCATGAGTAGCGACGCTAGCACAGGTGTGGCCAGTCACGCGATAAGTCACTAAAAATGTGGCCGATCCCACGTACAGTGCGAATCGATGATATGAAAAGCACGAGTGAGGGAGGTTGGTGATGATATGTGGTGTTTAACGTCTCAAAACCACCATATGATTATGAGAGACGCCGTAGTGAAGGGCTCCGGAAATTTCGACCACCTGGGGTTCTTTAACGTGCACCCGAATATGAGCACACGGGCCTACAACATTTTCGCCTCCATCGGAAATGCAGCCGCCGCAGCCGAAATTCGATCCCGCGACCAGCGGGTCTGCAGCCGAGTACCTTAGCCACTAGACCACCACGGCGGGGCGAGTGAGGGAGGTTGATAGGTCACTCTAAAATAAGCACAATGTTTCGAGGTGGAGGTAACGGATACGGTACATGACTTACGTGTCATTATTATCATGTTTAGATGTGTCGTTTCCGTTAGTCATCTATTCACGACACGTAATACCAAATTTAGTATATGTGGAGCTAGCGAAGCGGCCGCGAGCACGCTATTAGCGTGGAATTGTTCATTTTTTTTAAATGACACGCTTGTGAGCATTATAATGTTTGCACCAGTCATATACTTTCGTCATCCATCACGTCACGTAACACCAAGTTTGGTATATGTGTAGTTAGCAAAACGGCCGCGAGCGCATCATGAAGGGCCCAATAAACTCCCATGTACCGTTGACGCGCGCGCACGCTGTACACAGCGATGCTACGATAGCAAAACGCGAGCACTCTATAGTCTGACGCCAGGCACGACCAGCGTCCATCAGCACGACCCAACGGCTACGGGCGCGGAATGCGACGTGCTGCATTTGGCGCTGATGCGTTACCCAGACAGTACTATGTGTTCCTCTTTTCGTGACGGAGGGATGGCGGACGCGCTGAAAAGCGCATGCGTCAAAGCAACGCAGTGCGGCCTGCGTCATAGAGTATATGGCAAGACTGGCGCCAGGTGTGGGATCGCCGGCGTGACGCGACGAATTAATGTCGGCGAGCACACGCACCGCGTCACGTCGAAATGCATTGGCACCTTGACGGTCGTATGTAGTCATGTTCTCACATGACACGCATCTCATGATTATCATGTTTGCACCAGTCACATACCTTCGTCATCCATGGACGTTACGTAATACAAAATTTGGCATATGTGAAGATAGAGAGACGGCCACGAGCGCATCATCAGTGTGGCATGTAGTCATGTTGATACATGACACGCATGTCGTGATTATCATGTTTGGATATGTCATTTACTTATGTCGTCTGTTCGCTTCACGTAATACCGAGTTTGGTACACGTGACGATAGAGAAACGGAAACGAGCGCATCATCAGTGTGGCATGTAGTCATGTTGATACATGACACGCATGTCGTAATTATCATGTTTGGATATGTCATTTACCGATGTCGTCCGTTCGCGTCGCGTAACAGCGAGTTTGGTACATGTGAAGCTAGTGAAACGGCCGCGAGCGGATCATGAGCGTAGGATGTAGTCATGTTGTTCCATGATGCGCATTTCATGATTATCATGTTTGCACGAGTCACATGCCTTCGTCATCCATTCACGTACCGTAATTCCAAACTAGGTATATGTGACACTAGCGAAACGGCCGTGAGCCCATCACGAGCGTGACATGTAATAATGTTACATGACACGCATGCCAAGATTTTCATGTTAGGGTCAATCACTTGTGTTCGGCATGCAATCATGTCATACCATACCTGTTTTGCAACATGTCATGTGAACAAAACCACCGCAAGAGCTGTGGCACTGTGAAATATAAATCCATCCATTCATCCATTCATCCATTCGTCCTTCCGTCCGTCCGTCCGTCCGTCCGTCCTTCCGTCCGCCTACGACTTTTAGCTCTCCTGGCCGTTCTGAAAATGTTATCGACACTAAAGTCGGTATGTCATAACACGACTGTATGAAGAACATATCTGACTAGTCATAAATTGAAAATCATGACATGTATGTCATGAATGTCATGATTTACATTTGATTGTCTTGTAGCTCTTGCGGTGGTTTAGTTCACATGGCACGTTGAAAAACTGCTATGATGACATGATCGCATGGCGAACGCAAGTGACAGACCCTAACGTGAAAATCATGACATGTGTGTCATGTAACAACACCACTACATGCTACGTTCAGGATGCGCTCGCGGCTGTTTTGCTAGCTTCAAATGGACGAAACTCGGTATTACGTGACGCGAACGAATGACATAGGTGAATGACACATCCAAACACGATAATCACAACATGCGTGTCATGTAACATGACTACATACCACTCTGTTGATGCGCTCGCGGCTGTTTCGCTAGCTTCACATATACGAAATTTGGTATCACGTGACGTGGATACATGAAGAAGGTAAATGAGACACCCAAACATGGTAATATTGACACGAAAGTCATGTATGGCATCATTTATTTTCTCGTAACGTTGTGCTGATTTCAAAGTGACATATCGACATTTCTCATTCCTGCTTCGCATATCATCGATTTCCACTGTGCGTCGCCCCGCCGCGGTGGTCTAGTGGCTAATGTACTCGGCTGCTGAGTAGCAGGTCGCGGGTTCGTATCCCGGCTGCGGCGGCTGCATTTTCGATGGAGGCGGAAACGTTGTAGGTCCGTGTGCTCAGATTGGGGTGCACGTTAAAGATCCCCAGGTGGTCGAAATTTCCGGAGCCTTCCACTACGGCGTCTCTCATAGTCATATGGTGGTTTTGGGACGTTAAACCCTACATATAAATCATCCCACTGTACGTGGTATTTGCCGTTTTTTTCAGAAACTCTACTTGCGCGGCAATGTTCAGCGCCAACGGGGCTATTTTCGCGTCGCTGGGGTGATAGCGTTTCTTTCCAGACTGCACGCGCGGCTACTTGTGCGAGTGTGGTGTCATCTGCTTGCATCCGTCTGCAACTGCAGGCTGGCTTTCGGGTTGGACCATTCTTTCAGCGGAGAATTCATTGATAAAAGTAAGCTTTCGTACGACGCAGGTCATGTGAATAATGTCGAAGAACTTTTATCTGTGGGAGGAAGCGTGTCGAGCCTGATGACAGGTGAGTGTGTGTCCCAAACATGCATCAACGCTCCGTCAATAACCATGAAATCGACAGTGATCAAACATTTTAAATGCGAAGCATTTTTGTGTGTGCTGCAATTAAATTTCGCATCTGTTTACGCATCTTTCTGTCTATCTGGTTGCTTTATACTGCGTGCTCTCGTGACCACCACATTAACTTCGTGCCAACCAAAATTAGTATTGGAGGGCATGATGATTTTACAAACATGACGCAATAATTTCACAATCCTGTCGCGTACTTCGTCGAACAGTTTTAAACAGTGGCACATATTCCAGAGAGGGGTTGTGCCACTGGTTGTCGGGTATGTGCTACAGGCGATTCAAACTTGTTATCTACACAGTCTCAGCAGATATCGAACCCAAGAATTCTGCGTGACAATTGAGTATTCTACCACAGAGCCACGCCAGGTCTTGGAACTAATGTGCAAATAGATCATGATTGATTAGTGGGGTTTATCGTCCAAAAAGCACTATATAATTATGAGAGCCGCCGTAGTGAATGGCTCCGGAAATGTCGACCTGCAAATAGACACTAATGTTCACGAAACGTCAATTGTGTTCGCGGTGCTCACTATATGATTTTATAAGCGTTACGTATTGTAATGATTGGGTGTGTTTATTCAGGAATGATAGTGAAAGGTAGCCTTGACATCACCGAGATGCTTCCAAGGCAGACCACTTCGTTCTCTTCTCCCTTCGTTCACACGTTGCCGCTTCAGCGTAACACTCCCTCTTTCCCAGACAAAGCCTTCTAGGCGAGTATCACGCGCGCTAAGAGTCTAGAGGATGACAGCACTTTCGGCGGACGACGTGAACGAGCTGCGTCTGCCGAGAATGGTAACCGCGGTAAACGAGACGAGCGATGGAATACGTCACACAAATTATGTGATTGACGATGACAAGATGAATGGGGCAACGCGCCAGGAACTTCTGGTACAGACCACGCTTGCAAAAGGGTGTACACAACCATACTTTGTCTCCTTTTTCGTACGACACAACCTTGTGCCGTGAATCATAGGCGAACTTGGAGTGGTCCAGCGATCCCAACGCACGGAGCTGAGCTAGGTGACGTGCTTCCTCTGCGCCGCAGAGAGCTGGGCTATAGAAAAGTGTGCGGGAGCATTAAACGGCAGAATGGTGTCAAAAAAGCAGCGGGGTGGTCTGACATAAATGAGAAAGAAGGGACTGCAGGCAGGGATTTCATTATTTGTCATGCTATAAGTGTAGGTGCTAAAGAGCGAAATATCATCCGAGTTCTTGTGCCTGGAGTCGACGTGTATCGAAAGCATATTGATACATGTTCTGTTGGTGCGCTCGATGAGCCCGTTTGTCTACGGGTGATATGGGGTCACACGACGAAATAGACAAGCACAGAGACGCAAGAGATCTTTTACAACATCGGCTACGAAATGACGACAACGATCACTCAGAATGATTCGAGGCGGTTCATGGCGCAGCATAATAGAAGAGAGAAGGAAACTCGATACATCGATTGCCGTGGCTGTTGGTAGTGTTTTGGTTTGCACATAACGTGCCATGTGGTCGACGCAGACTATACTCCAATGGTTGTTTTTTGTTGAGCGCGGAACGGGGCCGAGAAGATCGACTCCAACCATTTGAAAAGGTGATGAGGGTGACCTCACGAGGTCCAGGAGACCAACCTGATCA